AAGTTTTGAATTTGCTAAAACAAAACGTGGTCGATTATATTACCGGAAGAAAGCCAAGCGCCACAAAAATCACGCTCACGAGTTGTAATTGTCGACACCCAAATCTCGGAGTGCATCAGTGGCCGCATCTTTGCAGCTTCGATGGCTCTGCTTTGCCTTTCTAATAAGTCCCTCGATGCCATTAACGAGCAAGAGCTTCCTATTGTACCATAGGTTCATTACTACTATAAATGTATAGGGGGAAAAAAGAAGAAGAAAACTTTGGAGATGAAGTTCTTTCTTGAAAGCGTTTTTACCTGTTTTCTCGATTTCTTACAACGAGATTCCTTATCATGAAACAAGAGTTCCTTTGGAGTTGGTCCGAATCCGGAAACTTCTGCATTGCTTGAATAGCAAGGTCCCCGGCTCCAGATTCAATGGCATGAGCCGCGTGCTCGGGGGATCTTAGACATAGAGTGCATATAATGGACATGACCTGGCCCAACCAAAAACGGTAATCAGTAAAATGCACAAATTTAGAATATATATCGGATCATCTAATGTTCGTACGGGTGTGATTGGATATTAATTTGATTTGGTTTTGACTGGTTTTTCTGTTAACTATAGTTAAGTTTGAAAAAAGGTAGTATGATCAATTGTTGTTATTAGTGTGATTTTGAGTTTATATTAAATTAATATTTAAAATGAAAAATAGTTAGAGTTTATTTAATGTAAAAGTAGGAGAGAGATGACGTGAAGTGATGGTTAGTTAAAATTATATGAGTAGATGAATAATGAATTTATGTTGATGTGATGTGTCAGAATAATGGATTGATATTATTTAATAACAATGAAGATAGTGAATTTAAGTTAAAAATGATTAACCTTTTCCAATCAATCCATATCCAATCACACCTTAATTTCTCCCGGTATTCCACTGAAAATTTCAACGGATATTTCATTGGTATATCTTTAATTGAAAAATTTCATTGGCTATTCCAACAGAGATAATATTATATTACATTAGAATTTGACTGATCCAATTACAATTATTTATTGTTGAATTTTTCATTGGAATCTTTCTTGAAAAATATTTCAACCGTTGGAAAACATAGCCATTTTTTTTTTTTTCCGAAACGATAGAGGTACTATTATTAATCAAAAGGGCACAAATGTGCGAATAAAAATACAAAGCTCCCAACGGGAGAATAAAATGGGAGGACAGGTCAGAAGCCTGCCTAGAATCCCGCTAGCAACGCTAGAAAAAACTCAAACTAAACATACCAACTACACGACCACGACCCCCAAGGGGTAATAACAACATAAAACAACAAAAAAAACAACACAAGACCCCCACAGGGTAATTCCCGAGTATCGGACCCCCACAGAGTTGTGTATGTGAGTTCCCTTTTTTATGACTTCATTTTTGTTTATTTATTTATTTAAGAGTTAATGAAAACAAGCAACGGTGGTTACTTAACATGTAGTTTCACAAAAATGGACACCAATGTGGTATAAATGGTAACATCACATTCTGACAAGACAAATAGTGATGACAGCTTGCAAATCGTAAAATATGGAAAATTTTAACTACATATGTTATACCTCCTGCAGCACCGTAGGATCATCTGAGAATCTTGCCGAAAGATTTATAAGCCTATCAAAGCCTCCCTTCTCGACAATAGTGCTCTTGTTCACGTCACTTCCTGCAAGCTAATAAAAATCCATGATTCAAGACAATGGCTCAAAGAATATATACACCACAGTGAGCACAAAGATTGGGCACCAAACAGCATGGGAAAAATAGCAGCAGTGTTCAAATCAAGAAAAATATAAGATATGTTGGGTTCAGTGTTGCACCTTAGATAACAGAGAGCAGCAGGCTCTTGCCACATCATTAATTCCCTGTAAACCACTATCGTCAAGGCACTTGAGAATCACATCTATACCTCCATTATGAGCAATGGACCTGCAAATTTCATCCTGTAACAAAACAAGAGTTACAGATAAATAAAATAAATGTCAAACTTCAGCATAGGGAATCCAAGTTACGGGCACTCGTTTATAATTTTCATCACGTATTCTGTCTTGAAAATCACGTTTAATGATGAAAGAATCTTGCTCAAGAATCACCTCGCAATTTTTTTACGCATTTTACTCCCACAGCAATTTAGTTAAATGTCAAGATATCTACAAAAGCAGCCTAACATACATCATGGCAAAATCTCCTTTCAAGATTACATGATATACTTACATTGACAGCCACAGCCTTCAAAGCAATGCTGGCAGATATTAGATAAGAGGTGTTGAGTCCTTCGCGCAGTGAATCCACAAGAACCTCTGCAATTCCTAACTTTGCAAATTGTCGAGCATAGCCAAAAACCTGGAATTATCATTTTTTTAAGATATTGTCAAAATAGTGAACAAATTATGAGCAGCACACACACACACACACACACATGAGCGGAGTGCTTCTACAAACAAACTTCATCAGTCCTCTTTCCGCATTATGTTCTATATAGTGCTCAAAAGTGAAATACAGTCCACGATCAAACCATATTCACACTAATCTGACAAGAAAATTTCCACAGAAGTAGCTTACCTGTGAAGCCACGACACGATTATCATCGGACATCAAGATGACTCGTATGGCATCGTATATGCTTGGGATATTCCCTCCATTGTGTTCCTTCAGAATCTTCACTATCAACTCATCAATTTTCAAGTCCATAAAAGATTCCTTGAGGACTTCATTGCCGGTTGCGGCTGCAGCCACGACTGAAAAACAACCATCCAAGATCTTCTCATCTTCTCTTTCACTGCTCAGAATACCTACAATAATCTTTGGGCCACCTTTCTCCTTAAATATTTCAGAACTTTGAAGATCTGCACAAAAGCACCATGTGGATGTAGAAATATTCAAACCAGCAAAACTAAATGCCGTTCAAAAGGTTACCTTGCGATTTCGCTAAACATTAAGTGGAAGTGGAGCATCATAAACAAATCGAAATGAATGCTTGGAGTGTTTGGTCCAGCTCAACGCTTAATACTGGGTTCCACGATTCAACCCAGATTCCATACACAAATAGTTTCTTATTAAAAAGAAAAATGATACTAGATTACTGAGTTCGTACCATGAAGTACAGAAGCCATGGCGTTCAATCCAGAAGCCAAGCCCCGATCACGCGCATCCCGCAGCTTTGAGCAGACAGAAATCACCAACTCCACAGCTCCATTTTTGGCCGCTATCGCCGCATTCCCGGACCCTTTGTCTCCGCACAAAACACCCAATTCATCTAGAAGCTTCACAATTTCAGGCAACGTCCTCTTCTCCTTCAGTTTTTCCAGACAATCCATCACCGGATTGCTTTCTCCCGGAGCGCAGGTCACAATACCTAGAAAACAAATTGAGAGATGATGAACTAAATTCCGGAGAAAATGGGAATCGAGTGTGAAATACGGATAAAATTGGGGGAAAAATTAGCATGAAATCCAGTCAGAGATTCGAACCGGAGAGATCAACGCCTTGAAGTGTGAGGGTCTGGATGGCGTCCTCGAGAGCCTCTGTGGGGTCCATGCCGAGGTCGTCAATGTTTTCCCGAACCATTTCGTCGAAAGCTTGCTGCGATATTGCACGCGCCGCCGCTTTCGCCGGAGCCATCTGTCGCCGACGATATGCTGCAGAAGACGATATTGCACCTTTGGGTTTGTGTGGGGAGGGAGTGAGTGAGTGAGAGAGTGAGAAATTTTAAATTACTACGATTTAATTTGAAAATGTTCCTGGGCTGGGCCAATGGACGACTATATGGGCAGTCTATTAGGCCTATTAAATGTGGACAATTTTCGGCCAATAGGCCTAAACCAAGAGAAACTTACATAAATTCATGTTTAATTGTAAATTTATGATTTTTTTTTTAATTATAAATATACTAACTTTCAATGTTTTATGAATGTTGTTTTGTTGGTTATTTTTGTCATCGGTTTCCCAAGTGTGTTTTTTACACTATTTTAAATAGAAAAAGCTATTTTTGTTTGGTCCAATAAATCTATTTACATTCACCTTCTTTTGCCTAATGAATATTTCTCACTATCCACATTCCTTCAGCTTATCAAGGGCCATAACATCAAATACATTCAGCTTGATTTAAACACTCCCCCCACACGGAGTCCCGATCTCCAAGTTTCCTCAACACAATCAAGAACAAATTCCATACTTTCTTACATGGATGCTGTATCTGCTTGAAAATTCATGTTTGAAAGAGATTATTTAGTGCAATGAATGCGGTCCACTGTAGAAAACTTTGTTTTGAAGAGCTTTGTTCGGTTGCTTTGAGTGCTCGTCAAATGGAAACACTCAGACGTCTGGTTACTATGTGTAATAATAGAATTATCAGCAGTTAACTTGAGCTAAATTGAGCCTCGCTCGTTTTTTCCAGGTGAAAATCCATTCCTTTTGTGCAAGAAATATATATCTAATAGTCTGTCGTTTCATTTTCTAGCAACTTGGGCTCAGACAGGCTCCAATGCCTCATCATTTCCCCTCCTTTTCTATTATAGAGAAACACCGTTACTCTAATGTGATCAACTTCTTTTACTTCTGACTAGTGTAGAATTTTTACTTCTAATATACACGAATAAAAAAATGAGCAACAACAACAACAACAACATAGCATTTTAGTCCCAAGCAAGTTTGGGTAGGCTAGAGATGAAACCCAAGAGAACCAATGGTAAGAAAAACACAAAAAGAACTCAAAACAAAGGAAGAGATTAGAGCAAAAGAGAAAGGAACAAAAGTCACAGTTCTGACACGTTGATTGCTAGCCTCCAAGCGCTCCTATCCAGGAGCAAAAGTCACGGTTCTGACACGGATAAAAAAGAATGAGCCAAACACTGAAAAATCGAGCAATGCCTTGCTGCTGCACGTAAATCGTTTACCAAACAAATGCACAAAATACAGCAAACGAGCATTTCATCACACGGCGCTACTCTAACCAATCAGATAACAGGAAGATACAATATTATTTCTCCCCAAGATTCAGTCAACTCAGTCGCATCAATCCCTTTTGAGCAATGCCTTAGCTGCAGGTATATCTTTTACCAAACGAACCGCAGAAAATACAGCAAACGAGCATTTCATCACACGGGCTACTCTAACCAAAGTCAGATAACAAAAAGATACAATATTATTTCTCCCCATAATCAGTCAGTCAACTCAGTCGCATTCAAAAACAAGGGCATCAAACAAACACTTCGCCTAAATCACATTTGCCAGTACCGAATAAACACACACATAATTTCATTCTTTACCTTCACCTCAAGGACATACGTTGATACAGATCGTCCGCCAACACTTGCCTTAAACTCTCCCCATAATAATGAAATGACTTCTCGTTCTCCATAATCCTCGGTGGCTGACCCTTCTCCTCGGGCTCTGTCCACAACTCGGGCTCGGGCTCCCTCGCTATCTGACAAAGGTTATGCAATACACAACAAGCCACAACTGTTTGTGGCGCGTGATTCAATCCCACGTTCAAATCCTGCAGAATCTTCCACCGACCCTTTAATAACCCGATAGCCTCTTCAACTGCTCGTCTAGCTTTCATCAAAGCCTCGTCAAATGCGTTCTGAGGCGGGCTTGTGGCTCCATTGTAGCCGAAAGGGGTTAGTAAGAAGGAAAGCAATGGAAAACACCAGTCACCGACTATGTACGGCCTCACAGCTTGTCCCCGGACGTTTACCGCTTTGTCCCAGACGATATCGCCGGAGATTAGCCGGTTGTAAAGCAAGCTGTCTCGAAAATGGGCGGCATCTTCGGAAGCTCCGGGGGCTTTTACGCAAACGTCCCAGAATATTTTCTTGTGATCCGAGACTACCTGAAGGAGGACAGCAGGGAAGTTGTACTTGCAGAGGTATGTGGAGTCGTGGAGTTTGTGGAGCTTGATGGGGGTGGTGTCAATGGCGCCACAGACGTTGGGGAGGGAAGTGAGTTCTTGAAAGCCTTGTGTGGTTTCGAAGAGGCGGCGGCGTGAGACGGGGATTTTGATGAACTCAGGGTAGAGTTTGGTGGCGAGGAGGCGGGTGACCATGTTTGTGATTTTGGAGATGAGGTAGGGTTCGAGGCCGTAGCGTGAGGCGAGGGTTTTGAGGGAGAGGCCGTGGGAGAGGCGGGAGAGGACCATGGCGACGGCATAGTCGGAGGGGAGGGAGAGTTGGGATTGGGTGATGTAGGGTTTGAGTTTGTCGACGACG